AAACAACCATCGAAAAATGCAACATTTAATGACATGCTTGCTTTGGCAAAGATTTATGTGATTATTTTTTTTTATAAAATATAGAATACCTCTTACCCCTTTTGGAAATGCAGTGCACATAGGATGATAGTTTTCTCTTGCTACATTAGAGTAGCTGATGAATGAGTAGTGGTATAGAAATGTAGGGTTGTTGGCTTCCTTTCATTCACTGAGATTGGATCCTTTCTTTTCTAAGGGGTGGCAGTTCTTTCTTTTTCTATCTTATTGAAGACTGAAGTGGAGGATTTATAAAAATGAAAAGTTGGTCTTAAGGAAATTGCTAAATTATGCCTTCTGGATCTGTATCTGTCCTTGGCTTTGGAGGTTCAAGTTCTGGAGTTCTAAACCCTTGGTCTTTTGAGTTTCTTTGCAATAAGTTAAGTAGTAACGATCATTTATACACAGTAAAGAAGGTGAATTTTGCTAACTTTTTTTAATTTTTCATGTTTGCTTATCGCTTACTAGCTGATATGTGGCTTTATTAATAAGCACCTAGAATAGTTGGAATCTTATATCTAGTTGCAACAAAGGCTAATATGATAAATCTTTTAAATAAGAAGCTGAATTGAAAGTAAAATGCTTAGATAACATTTTAAATTGACATAAACAGAAGCAGCATTTGTAGAAGTTGGTCACTGTGTATACATTGTGAAATTCTAAAAGGTCTGTTCTCAGTAGCCATAAAAATAATGGCATATTTTCCTCTTATTTTTTCCTTGAGTGCAGTGTTTAGTGGCTGGGTTGGGCTGCAGCAGTAGCTACCCACATTTGTTACAAGAGCACTTCTCATAGATTACATTACCATTTAATTAATTCTTTGTTAGTGAAGTCTGCTGGAGAGAGAGAGATTGCACATGATAGATAATGAGACAAGGAGAAAAGTGAAGAAAAGATGGAAATTAGTTTAGAGCTCTGCATTTTTTTTGCACTGTGTGCTGATGAATTGGTAAATGATAGGCTTATTCCTCTGCTGTCTTTATATGCTGTTAATATACAGTGAAGTTCCCTAACTGGTCCCTGACAAGTACTATGCCAGTCAGGAATGTATCCTAGGAATCAGTGCCACAAGCCACTGTCCTGTGCCTGTTCTGGAAGGCGGTGTTTGAAGGGCAAAGGAGACTCCACAGAGATCTCATTTCTGGGGCAGGTGTACAGGCGCACGCATGTGAAATCAGGTCATTCTGGAAAGCAGGAGTGATTAGCAGTGGGCCTTAATCTTTTGCATAAAAACTCACGTGGTGATGGAGACCTGTGAAGCCCTGCTGCATTTAAACAGGAGCATCAAATGAGACCCAATAATGTCTGTGCAATATGGTGCTGTTGCTTCAACTCTGGATTTCCTGTAGGTGTTATTGAAATGTTGGGGGGGAGCATTTAAAGACACTTCTGTACATATAGTAGTTGCTGAGGTTTCTAAGGCAGCACTGAGTCATTCTTAAGGACTGCAAAAATTTATTTAAAAAAAAACCCAAAACATTGGAACAGATGGGTATTTGGAAATATACAAGTAAAACTGGGATCCTGTACCTGGTACTTCAAATAACAGAGTATGCTAATAGGAAATAATGGGTTTCCATGTGGAGCCTTGCAGATCTCTAGGAGTGTATGTGGAAATAATTAGATCCTTGCAAACCACCATGGCATATTAGTAGGGAGCTGCTTTGAATCGATAGGAGCTGGTCACACGTGATGCCAGTTTCACAATGAGAGCAAACTGGTATCTTTAGCAAATTCCTTAGTGGAATCTTCGTAACAAATGTTGCAAGACCCCAGGTGTTTTCTGCTGTATTGGTAATGAATTCTTGTCTTAAAAGGAATCACACAGAAATGTTTACTCAGCAAATGCAAAGATTGTAGCAAAACATGCTTTTGACTTCTTACATGCATCTACAATGCCGTCTATCATGAAGTTTACATTGAAGTCATCGGGATTTTTTTTTTTGTTTATTTGGAAATGGTAAGAGATGGTGATTGCACTTGTACATTTGAGCTGATGGTAAGGCCAGAGGTACTAGATAATGACTTGTGTAGTATATTTGAGTGTTAAGTACTAGAAATCTTGCCTTATCAAACATGGTATCTCTGCATGCAGTGAGAAAGTGAATTTTGGGAAAACTGAAAAAGCAGATAGGAAAAAAAAAAGAAGAATTAAATGAAACAGTCTTAGGGACTTCCATAATTTTTAAAAGGCAAAAAATGCAGTGTATGATAGCTCTTCTTTCTGGTATGCTCCTTCATTTCAAGATGAAGCTGAGACTGATGGTAATGTCCACGGCTTGCAATCAGGTCACTGATTGATTGCACTCCCAGAACTTAGGTAGTATAATAGGTAGTACGTTGTTACAGAGGGAATTTAGTACTACCTTATTTTTGTGTAGTCTTGTACCTGAGGGTTTACCATACTTGCTAATGACCTTGAATAATTTCTTTCATATACTTGTAAAACATAATTTATTTCGCCTTCGCCTTAGAATTGTTGATGGGGTTATTCAAAATAGTACTTTCCCCAAAAGAAGCACTTCAGCTTCTTTGTTCATTTCGTATACTTCTCGTACAAACCAGTGCACTTTTTGGTCTTCGTGTGTCTCCAAATTCAGAATCCTATTTCTGAAACAGTCTTTCCATTTCCAAGCCATAGTTAAACAAGTAATGCTGTAGTGGTGCGTAACAGATGGGCAAATATTTTTATTTCTATGTTCTGGTGTTAAATTTATGTGTAAGACAATAGTTTTAATAAAAACTTTCAGTAAGAGGATGCTAATTAATTAAACCACTTACTATTGCAAGAAGAAAGGGTGATTACTCTGCATCACTGTGTTTTCTAAGATAAAGTTGTGTTTCCACTATCGATGGAAGAAAGGCTTGCCCCATGCACCCGGGATAAGACCATCCACGTGCTCCAAGAAACACCTTCATGTGTTTTGAGACAGGAAAACAGAGAATACTAATCAGGGATTGAAAACAGTGGTGACAGAGAGAAACGCTTGACCGTTTTAAGAGTATAAAGCTATTTGTGTTAAGAGTTTTATTTGGAGGAGGGTTCAGTCCTGAAGCAAATAATTTCATTGTCCCTGTTTATCATGGCCATTTGTTTGTTTTCCAGAGTGGTTTTGGTATGTGCTAGCTAGGCTCCTTTCAAAAGAAACTACGCCATTCCACTCTTTGCATGCACCAAGTGTACTCGAATCTTTGATAGGGTCATCGAGATTTGACCAGTTATTGGTCATTTTTGGCAGCTTTGACCCTCCTGTGGTAGGGTCTGGTTCAGGCAGTTTCAGTAAATGTGGCCTGCCAAAAAAAAACCTCCTGGACTTTCTGTAGGTGTAAAGACTTCAGCAGCAGCTGTGTTTTGTTCTGCTCCAGTTGCACCAAATTGCTCGTGCAGATAGAGCCTAATACCGTTTATTGTAGGGTGATTTTTTTTTTTTTTCTTTTTAAAAGTAACTTCAGACAGGCGATGACTAATTGTCAGGGTGTCTTAACCTTGTCAAGTGTTTGGAGATGGTAATGTTTTTAAGTCTACCTCCGTGGCAGTTTGTATTTTGGGTGGAACTTGACAGACCTTTAGATAAGCACTGTATGCATTAAGTGAGTTACCAAAGGTCTGTTCTGAATGTTCTTGCCTATGGTTTTGATCTGACTGGTTTTCAGGGGCATGAGGAGGGGAGAGAGCAGAAGATACGTGTTTGGAATGTAATGGTGCTGTAGGATCCCACAACTGGTGCGAGATCATGATTGTAGCTTAAAAGCCAGCACAAACGTTAGAAATCATATTATAAAACAACAGAGCCCTATCCCAGTTGCTGCGTCTCCTCCTTCGTTCAGTAAATGTCCACTGTAGTGTGTGTCCACTTCTCCTGTGCATTGGAGGAGATTAATTTCTCGGTGCTGAAGTTACTCCTTTGGTAATCTGTGTTAACTTTTCTTTTTTGTGCACATATTAGAATTTGCAATATGATCTGCAGTAATTATAGGAAGAGCAGAATCTTCCTATAATTTTCTTTTCAATTATTCAACTTCTTCCTTTCAAACTCCTCAATGTCCCACATGCTGTTCCTTTTTTCCCCCCTGCTTTTTTCCCACACTATTTGAGATTTCTCTGTATTTCTGGAAAGAAACATTTTTTTGTCAGCTTAAAATGACCAAAATTAAAATGCATCTCAAAGCTGCACCGAGTATATAGGACCGCTTGGCTGCAACAATCAGTGCTCTTGGAGGACATTAATCTGCTTTCAGCTCTGGAAAGTGCCAGAGGTGGGAGAGGGGGATTGGAGGCAAATTCAGCCCCCTTGGAACGATAAACCGAAGCAACATGCCAGTTGAGGCACGAGTATGTGTGGCTAGAAAAGGCAGCATGACGGATGGTTTGGTATTTAGTGGGCAAAAGGAAGGACTGGAGAACCCTGATTGGTTTCAGTGATTGCGTGTATTCAGTGCGTTAACTTTCTGCCTTAACATTATTTATAGTAAGCTGCTATAAAGGCAACCTGGCAGTGTGTTTTGAAGTTCGGTTCATAGCAGCTCTCCAGGCGGCAGAGATTAAAAGGAATTTGGGAATATCGTCTACGGTGAAATCTGCTGGAAACGGGCTCTTACAGCATTTAAAGGCAAGGCAGTATCCCGGTTTAGCTCCGGTGGTTTGAGTGCTGCAGTTCGATCCTCTAGCGTTAAAATACGGTGCTAGCAAAGCACGTAAGCGCGGGGTTTCATTTCCTTTACCCCTTCCGTAGGGTTTAGCGAGCTTTTTACTATTTGCCGAATTCTCCGGTCGTAAAAC